TCCTGCCTCTCTCACTCTCTTTGGCTCCAACTCCCCAGTTGGGGTGCCCCGGTACAGTGGTCAGCTCTTGAAGGCAACTTCCCAAAATTAAAGGTGTTATATAAATGTAAATTGTGTTGTAAATGTTAAATGTACTGATTTACCTTCTGCAATGCCACCAATTTGTATTAATATATGTAAAAACTTGGATGAAATGTCAGGCACTAACATGGCCTTCTTAATTTAGTATTGCTCTGATCATTTGAGTCTCCTGATTAAAAAACTCAAGAGAATTACTGTGGAGTAAAAAAAAATGCCGATAGGAATGTTTATCTGCCTGTAGGAATCATTGGCGTAATCACTCAACAGCAACACATTTCTATAGCGCCTTTCACGTCGGGAGGACGTCCCAAGGCGCTGGACAGTATACAGTAGTTCAGACCCAAGCTGGGGTCGGGGGGGGAAGGTAGCCGATGGCATGGTCGAAGGGGAAGGTCTTGAGGCGGGACTTCAAGGAGGCTAAGGACTCAAGTCAAGTTACTAAAATTAAATAGTTACTGTGACGCACCACCATCCTTCACCACCTCATTTTGATGCAATTATTTTGAGAACACAAGTAGGCCAAAGCTGGCAAGTTTAGAACACTATCAAGGCTTAAGCAAGAAGTAGAGAAATGTGGTTAGGGGATACAAAATTTGGGTTGCAAAGGAATGCAGATTGCATGAAAGAGTAAACTGAGGGAGGCAAGCAACGTACCTCACCACATATAAATCAAAGGCAAACAACATTGCAGCTAACTAAATACTTCAGGAAGCTTGAAAACACGATTTCAATATGAATATCATGGGTATGGCAGGGAAGAAGTGAAAAGAGTCTACTCTTCACGAACAGGGTAAATTAGTCTTGAAAGCAGGTGTAAATGGGGGAAAATAATAAGATTTGGGGAGAAACCGTAACACAGGGCATAAGCAAAAACAATGAAAATCTTTGTACCAAAGCTCAAGGATTATTATTTCAACAACAGCAACTTGGACTTATATAGCGCCCTCCACACCGGACGGCGTCTCAGAGCGCTTTACAGTAACAGATCCCGGGACCAAGCCAGGGGTAGGGGGGAAGGTGACCAAAGGCGCGGTCGAAAAGAAAAGTCTTCAGCAGAGACATTTTCATTACTAGTATAAACTTCATGGTGAGACATTTTAATCAATACTAAGCAAGTAATGTTGCTCTGATAGAATGAGAAACTAAGGCTCCAGTAGTCCAGTTGCTCTATCCAGAACATGCAAATACATTAACCAAAAGTTATGTAGTGTTACACCACCAATGCAAACACAGCTAAGCAAATTATCAACTCAGCGTTTAGTTAGCCTTCTGATGTCTTGTATGCATTCTTACAAGCACGTGAAATTCAACATCATTCCTAGTGACTCGGCTAACTAGCTAAAAACACAAACTTTTGTTGCAATTCGTTTCCCCACCCTCATCCTTTTGTTCTGCAGTATTAACACCTCTATTCCCCTGCTTTGTTGCAATCCCCCCCCCTTGTTTTACATCATTAACACCTCTTTAACTAATCATCCCCTGCCCTCTACCCCATTTTCTCATTTGCCTTCCTTGCCTGCCTCCCCCTTCTGTTAGCCCTTAAAAGCCTCTCCCTACCAATATGCCCCAGTTCTAACGAATGTTCGTGGACCCGAAACCTTGACTCACTTTCCTTTCTTTACAGATGCTGCCTGACCTGCTGAGTGTTCCCAGCGACTTCTGTTTCCAGTTAAAAACAAACTGGCAAATAGAATGTATTTATAAATAACTGCCATTGCATTTTCTTACAATACAAAAAAGTGGAATGCATCAGAGGGATCACAGAACAGCTATACTAAGCAAGTAATGCTGCTCTGATAGAATGAGAAACTAAGGCTCCAACTCATCTGCCTCCACAAACACAATCTTGTAGATATCTTGTATTGCAAAGAAACACCTCCAGATTTTATTCAAACAATTTGTATTAGCAAGAAGGTCACTTACACAAGTCACATCAGTACAACAATATGCTCAATAGTCTTTTAAAGCATACCTACAAAAAAATGACTATACTGCCAATTCTTCCAAATTAGACAGTCTCACAATGAATCAGCTAAATCTTTCAAGGCAAACAATGCGAAAATCTGCCTTAGCAACAACTGCAGCATTTCCCGCTTTTAATTTAAAAAATTGGATCATCAGCACCTGTGTTAATTAATCAAATTACAGCCCTCACTACCACTAGTACATACTGATATCTAACAGTCCATATCAGCGTTTAGAACCTTCATATAATGTATCTCACATGTTCTTGAAACTACAGATAAGCCTAGTTTACATATTAAGTTGTCACATTGTTTGGGGCAATTTTCATTTGTACTAGATTTACTGTGTTAGCTTTCATTTATATTGCATTTGAATTGTGTCTAGCTCTATCAAACAACAATTTTACATATATATAGTGCCTTTCATATCAAGAGAGTATCTCAAGGTGCTTCACAGAAGTGACTTAGAGCCCAAAGGGGGTAGGGAGAGCGGAGGAAAATGATGGGGGGCAGGGGGAAAAGAGAAAGTTGACTAAAAGCACCAACAAAAATAGTCTAAGGTAGGCTTTAAAGGTGGGGAGGGCGAGTTGAGATAATTCCGGAAATGTTTTCCATCAATGGGTGCGCATCAATGTACTTTAAATGTAAAGTACAGTGTATAAAGCCACTACAGATGCACATATTGTAGCCCCCAACTTTAAGAATGTCTTTTGGTTGCTGGGCTGCATTCAAATGCATGGTTTGCAATTCAACTCATAAGCGTTCCGTCTCATTGGGACCAATTGGAAGAGGTTCTGAATTGAGGCTTTATAGAAAATAATATATAGAGAGCAAAACAGCCATCATTACATCAACATTGGCTCACTCCACTTGCTAGAAGAACAGTGTGTAGTCATAACCTAAATAAGGGGTAAGGGAAGTTATACTTTCCAATTCAATTTTAAAAAACTACAACGTTGTTTAAAATAAACAATTGGACACTCAGTGTGGCAGTAAGTTGCAAAATAGCAGCCATAGATTTCATCTGGTAAAGGAGAGAGAGCAAACTCAATATGCTCCATTTACCACTAAAAGATCTCCAATTCATCTGAGTTTTCAGAATCATAAGTGTTGCCATTCAGGTTTCAAAAATATCAGTCAATCTTAGACACATGCCTTTGGTGTTACATTTTCACATCCCATCCCCACCCCATTTTATTTGAAGTTTACAACAAAGATATGAACACACTGATGAAGATATTGCTGCGCAACCACTGAAAGATCACATTCAAATAGCACAATTACACTTTCTGACCAGACTTGAAAGATGGTGAAATACTACCTTTGGGAAAGTAAAGGGAGAAAAATTATAGAAAAATGTCCAGAGTCATCCATTCAGTCATCTCCAAACTTCAGGATCACTGTCCTTCATAGCATTAGGTATACACTGAAGACATTGGGCCCAATTAGATACAAAACAAAATATACCAAGTGGGCAGAAAGGACTGTGGCTGAGCAGTATTTCACCAGACAAGGATAAGCGGTCACCAACTCCCATTAGGTACATTCTCTATTAAGGAGGATTGTAAAAGGTCACAGTAAAGTGCTGGATGCAATTTCATCCTGAAATTGGAAGGCTATCCTCGGATCACTCAGACTCTCCCTCCATTAAGGTAATCTGCTTCAATGATTCTTTTGTGTTTATTTAAAATGATACTGAAGCACAATGGGTAAATCTCATGCTGTGGGGATCATATACAGTCCACAAGCTACCCCAAAGGATGGTGACCAGAAGAAACCATGTACTTCCCATAGGGTCTGGAAAAAATAAATATTCCAAACCGATTCAACACACCTACTAGCAACCAGCTCTAGGTCTCAAAGCAAATCACTGATCCATCTTCTTGTCCAGCGAATGATGCATGATGTGAGCATTTATTTGAATGAACGATGATAAAGAAAATTGAAGAGTTTTACTTTATTAAAGCATTTCTGATAGTAGAGCATTTTATTATGGAAAATAAACATTTCATGACAATATTCTGTGAAGTTTATTCAAACTGTGTGCTCATCTCAAGTTACCCTAGCATTGAGATATTCTTTAAAAGGTTTAGCTCAGAGTTGATCCAAACCATTTCAAATTTATTGGAGGCCATTTGTATAAGTGTAGAAATTAAGTTCTGAAAGTTGATAGCAATTTAATAACTTGCCATGAGGAGTAAAATTCAAGGCGAGCGTTGCCAGTTGTGCTTTTCGTATGTAGTTTGGTGGCTGCGGTCTTCAACATTTGAATACATGTGTACCAGGCTCAGGTCAGAGCACACACTAGTTTAGATCCGGTTAATCCCGTTGATCAACCATTTAATGTAGAACATAATTACTCTGAGTAATAAAGAGAGTGCTACCAGGGCACTGTCACCATTACCTTTCTGGCAGCTAATTCTTAGCTCTTCAGTAGTTTAAAGTTGAGATTTTCCAGCATTGTCTCAAAATACATTACGTGGAATCCATGGAAGGCGTTTTGGAAGACAATTTTGCAAACAAAAGGTAATTTCTAAGAATCATTTATTCCTGTATTACGGCAACCTTTTTACTGATAATGCATCTCACCATTACTATTGGTTTGTTGGTCATTTTTTGGCCAATGTCATTGAAAAGACTCAGGAAAACTACATGTGCATTAATTTAAGTGGTTTAGAATTTATAAAGCAGCAAGATTTTCCCTACAGGCAAGGTATTTTCTATTCTAAATCATAATAATGGGGTTATTGAAAAGTGCAGCTCAAATTTGATTTATTAACATTTATTGAAAGGGATTGAAAAACATCCACCCAGCAATGGAATCGAGTCATATTACTTACAAAAACATGCTAAGGCCAACAAGACTACATTATCAAAACCTAAGAGAGAATTAGACTGGTTCTATTTTAAAGCGCATACATGCCTATAGTTGTGATATTCACACTTTGTTCTTACCTCTATACTAGGGCTAACGCTGCTGGTAAGAGCGTCCGATGTGACTGTTGTGCTCGGAAGACTGGAAATATCCCAGTTACGAACTGCTGGGACAATGCCGGTTGTCTTTTGAGTAAGAACTGGTTGATTGTCTAGTAATGACACCTCGTAAAACTCCTGAATATCTGGAAAACAAGAACATGTATTTAAGATTCACAATCAAGTTGGGATGAAAATATTGTAAAATCAAATTTAAACCCTTGTGCCAGGTCCATTTTTTTTCAAATAAAGTGAAAAACATTTTTGACCAGCTAGTGACTATCCTCAGGGGGTGAGAGCAGAGTCTACTTGGAGCTGAACTGCCTCCAAGATGACATCTTTGGCAACAGAATGTCAGAATTCAGCCAACTCTCTGTGGTGGTCTTGGTAGTGGTCCCTCAGCCTGGCAGGTCTGCAGTACTCCAGGGCACTATTGATGATGGCCCAATGATCCTGGTTCACTAATAGGTCTTGGGAGGGGCAAACTAGTACTGGGGGCAGGGACTCTTCCCACTCTGCTTCTGTTAACCTGCAAGCCAAAGCCGTAATGGGTAGAGTGGTTATAACTGGACAAGCAGCAGGAAAGCCTGCCTGCCTATGCTTCAAATGGCAAGCCATGCAGTTTCAGCTGGTTAGATTCCAGCAGTACCCAAACACACACTCTATGGAGTCCCCAAGCCTTGGCTCTTGCCAACTTGTGCCAAATATTCTCTGGAATTGGGTAAACAAGATGCATCCCTCTTGCCAAGAGAGTGTGCATTCCATTTCCAGTAAATCTCCAAAATTTCCATGTATAAGCGTGATGCATGGTATTTTGTTTAATGTGGATACTCTTAAACAAGAAGATGGTTTTCTGCAGGTTAGACAACTGGCTGACTTAAAAAATGTTTTTTTTTAAATAATGTACTTTGAATTCAAGCTTCTATTCTAAGAACTATAGAGTATTCCATAGATGCCGGCTATTAATCAGCTAAATAACCATAAGTAAACCTGATAAGCCTTGGTATACCATTAAAGAGAGTGAAAATACATTAGGTTTCATTAATACCTTTACAATCTTTTTCCCTCCCAAGGTATCAGCTCATATTGAGGTACATCTCTGGTACTTCAGCCAAGTGGTCATTAAAAAACTATCTTAGTCAACAAGTGCCAGACAATACGAGTAAACAAATATGTGCATACACACATTTTTTTATTAAACCTTTCAAGATGGATTTGCTGAAAGGAAAGAGATGAGAATGAAGAGAGAAACAAAAGGAGGAAGAAAAATACATCCTGTGCCACATTGCCAGCAGTTCAGGTATGATTATGCCCTCACAGCTCTCTTAGTCCTGATATGAAAGGCACTTTACAAATATAATTTGTTACTCTTGGTCAATTAGATGCACACATGGGCCAGAATACCCACCCAGGCAAGACATTCTGAAGTTCCAACCAGAATCAGAAAAGCATACAACCGCCACCTCCGCAGACACCTACAACACAGCAGTGTTTGCAATCCAGAATAAATAACTCAAATTATTTGTCCCCACACAGCAGCTGGCTACAATAAATAGTATTAAGATTCTGACGACTGGACTCCGGAGGTGGTAGAAACCACCATTTTGGAGCCACTTCAAGCCAAAGAAACATATCATTCATTTAGAACAAGGTTTGCTAAGATTAGAGTTAATTTTCAGAATGTAATGTAAAAAATCATACCTGTGTCAGTGACCTCAGTAGGATATAAATAGGCAGCTCAAGTGGTACTTAAACCACAAAATATTTTTGCACTATATTAAATTCAACATCTTAATTTTCTGAAGTTACACTTCAGATTACAGTTTAAGAAAATAAATCTAAGGTCCAATAGCTAAATTTAACCTCAAAGATAAAAGTGCTTCCTCCACAGGCTCATCCTCTTAAAAAAAATTATATTAAAACATATTGGTTTAAATACATTTGATTCTTTAATTTAGTCCTGAGCTCACTTTGTGCACTACTATTTCTCTAATAACATTTATCAACATTTATAACAAAGAAAATCGGTTCAAGAATCCAACAGTAATGTCTTCAGACAACTACTGTAACTAACTAGAATATCAAAATTATTTTCCCAGACGTAAAAACACCTAGAAAATAGAATTGCACAACTGGAAAGTTGGCAATTTTGCTTTGTTACAAATATGATAAAATTATGCAGGAAGTGATTACAGTGTCAAAATCAGTTACATCTAACAAAACTGGTGGACAGTGCTCAACAGGTGTAGTTTGTATTGTACATTATAGAAAATTAGAATATTTTAATATCTTTACTTAAACAGGGTCTTTAATTTGTGTCCAGAGAGGTTTGGCAGCAAACTTGAAAATCCAGCGTACAGGGCATTAAATTTGGAAAGGAGAATAATTAAAATTTTTGTTCACAGGATGAAAAAAACAATCTTATTCAAGCACCAAATGAAGAGTGTACATGACAGTATTGGATGACCACTCACCCCAATCCCTCAATTATGATAGAAATAATCAAACAAGGAAAACAATTATACAACAACAACTTGCATTTATATAGCGAGGGGAACGTCCCGGGGCGCTTGACAGTGGTGGGATCTGATGGAGCCAGGGGGAGAGGGAGGGAGTATGTGACCGTAAGCACAATCAAAAAGGAAGGTCTTTAGGCAGGATTTGAAACTGGGGACAATGCGGAGGGATTAAGGGAGAGCAAAGAGGCTGAAGGCACGGCCACCAATAGTGGAGCAGAGGGGGTAAGTAAATCAGATAGGTAGGGAAGTGAGAAGGCATAAAACGAGTGAGAGGATCCTGAAATCGAGCTAACGGACGATCTTGAAATTATCCATGGTCTATGTGCACGAGTCACAGCACATTGCATTCAAACAGGACTTATTCAAACAACAATGGGTTTGCCATGCATACTTTATGATAGCTGTACACAACAGCCAGCAGTAGCAGTGTCAATTGCTTGGGATGTCTTTGGACATTTCCCAACGTGAAAGGTACTAAATTTAAATATATCTATTATTTGACCAGGTATTTGAATTGATGTACCAACCCAATTGTATAGTAGTGGTTCAAGGTACAGCAGGTAGTCCCTAGGAAGGAGATAGCGTGGAGTATAGTGTTAACTTGTTTGAAATGACACCAGAATACATTTTAGAAGTTCAAAGTGGAGCCTCACTTTTGCAGCATCAGTTATTTGCTACACTGCCATCTGCACTCAGTGCAAGTCGCATTTATAGCCCAAGAGACATTAAGGGCTGTTTAGCTCATTGAGCCCAACACTTGTAATACGACAGTTTTAGATGGCATTTCATCTTCTGAGGGAAGCAAATAACCTCTTCACTCTTCCAATAAGAGAATCTCCCCACCCCTTCAACGTAATCTAGTTAATACACTTAGCATTACAGTAAGGATTAACAAAGATTGTCCAATCTTTCTGAAGTAAAGTAACTTTTTTGCTGTTGATAGCGGATTCCACGGGAAAATTGTGACAGCATTTTTCTCTTAGCCCAATTGATGACCAAATGAGTGCACACTTTTGCTACAAGGCAGTAATAGATGCAGCCTGGAGCATGCACTCTGCAGATGACTGCACTTACACAAAATTTCAACAGTTAGGCTGACATCAAATACACTTGATGAAAACCAAGAAGTCACTAGGTTTTTATAACTGTCAAAGCATTATCTAAGGTGACAAACCCATCAAGTAGCAAATAGATTGAAAGGGCTCCCATCAGATCAATGTGGAAACAAGGTATCATCATCCCACGATGAGCCTCAAAGTTTGTGTAATATCTATCTAAAACTGTATGCGCAGGGTGTGGTACAAAGCTGAATGCTGGTAAATGTTCAGAAAACAGAAGCATGCTACAAATGTTTAACTACATTGAAAATTAGCACTGGTTCACTAGATAATTAAGCTTAACAAAAGAACAGTTTTGCAACTGGTCCAATATTACATTCCAGTGCACACACATGTTCGCTGCGCCGAGAACTCGCACACAAAGCTTCCTGTTTTTTTCTGGGTTTGAACTGTGGTTCTCTTTTGAAGTTATTAATTCCCCCAGCTTCAAAAATGATACGCAGAGAGCTACAACAAAAGTCAGATTCACTACTGCAGTTAAGAGCTACAACTATATACTCCAAAGCAAGCGGCAGCATGCCATATGCCAAGCCCAGCATCTAGGTCCACACACACTTTTCAGATATTGGAGGAGAGGAAAGAAAGGGAACAAGTTGAGAGCACGACGGAAGAGCCATGCAGGAGAGGAAGATACGTGAAAAATGAGGCAGTGATAGTACTGGGTAAGAAGTAAAGGAATGTTACACAAGATACAGGGAATACTAAGATAAGAGTGCAAGACTCAGTGGGAAAGAATTAAAAGTGTGAGAGAAGAGACTGGAAACAGAAAGCAAGCGAGAATTCAATACAGGTAAAAGCTCACAGAGTAAGACTGATGAGAGTAATAAAGAGGGTACAGAGAATGAAAAATTCCACAGGGAGTCAGATGGGCATAGACAGAGGATTGTAAACGAGAAGTGAATGGAAATAAGGCAGGGAGAAAGAGAGAGATAAACAGGAATCAGTCATTCACAAAGTATATTTATGCTCTTTGCAATTGCTTGCCGCTACAGATCTTCATTCTCAAATAAGCTCTGCTCCCGATTGCTAGTTCTAGGATGGGCACTTTATTCAAATTTATATAGAGCACCACCAAATTCAATGTGTATTTATGATGTACATTAGTTAGCAATAATCCCAGGGATGTTACAATAGTGAAAACAATTAAATATGTCTGTCTGAGCAACCCTGAAAATTTATCCAAAACATGTATAAAATGCTTTCAAGCAATTGAAACTTTAATAACATTTGTTGCAACTTGATCATTTACGAACATCACCCCACACCACCCCCATAATTTTTCTACCCATTCTTTCTTTTGGTATTTTCTTCTTAGATAGTTTGCATCTTCACTACTTTTTTGAAAAAAAACTTTGGAACCAGTCAGATAGAGTGCACTTTTCTGTTTTCTTTTCTGCACTCTCCACCTCAGAGCCAATACGGAACCTTGGTGTCCTGTTCGATGCTCAACTATCATTTAAACCGCACATTTGTGTCATTACTCGTTCGGCCTTACCCCACCTCCGCAAT